GCTGTTGTCACCTGAACCCTGTAATCTGCACTCTGTGGGATGTGTTGTTTCTATCCTAATTAACCAGAGTCCCAAGACATATTCTGTAGCACATGTTCCACCAAAACCTCACTGTTTCACTTTCTATAGGCCTAAAGAAGAAGGTCCTCCACAAATCTGCGAACTGGAGGATACAAAAAAACCAGCAAAATCCAGTTCATTATTGGTATACTTACCTTTCCTTACTAGCACCGTGAGTTCAGCAGAGTTTGTGTTGTACCTGACGCCCCTGCTCTTCTCTCGGCAGCAGCCTGTCCATCCACATGGGCCCTGATGGCATCAGGGAGGCCCAGCCTCTTGTTGCTGCCAGGACTGTGACCTCTCAACACGAGTCTGTTCCAAGTCATCCACAACTTGGTTCAACTCAAAACCACCAGTAACGAGGCAAAAGCATCTGTGTCGCCAAAAAAAAAAATCATTTACTTCTGCAGCTGTATTTCATCATAGATACAGCATCTTCCTTAAAGCTGTGATGCCCTGCCCCCCTTTCTGTGTCATAAAAGGGATTCATGTGACAAATTCCAATTGTTTATTGGTAATATAGAAAGCTAAAGCTCCTTCTTGCAGAAAATTGCCCCATAGAACCTGACAACGCAGTGTGTTAAAGCACTCGAGATCCTAGGTAGGGTTTGTGGAAGGGAGAGCGATGCTGGTGCAGGGGGTCTGTGCGGCTGGTTTATCATCTCACCGGTGTGTCCCCAAAGATGCATTTCCTGCTTGAATGGTAATAAATAGAGAAAACCTCTCTGTCACCAGATAACGGCTCCCGGCTTCCACATGAGCTCGGGGGGGTTTATTGAGACTAAATGTTGTGTGTTTCCTTCCAGAGCTGGGGATATTTATTCTTTACCAACGTTTCGTTACAGTGGCTTTATTTCTCCTGCGGCCAATGAGGGATGCAGTTGTGATCCCTGCGTGAGCTCGGCAGCGCCGGGGTGCAGGAAGGGCAGCGTGGCGGCTGCGTGTGGAGTGACGGGCACGGACAGACGGATGGACGGACAAAGTGGGATACGGTGCAGCTTGTTAGGGAACTGCGTCTCCACATAAACAGGGCTTCCACATTTTCAGGTCTGGGTTAGCTTCCACGCTTCTCCATGGCTTCTCCCGCCATGTGCCCAGGAAATGGAAAACTCTTGTTTCCACCTGATGGCGGGACTTGCTGGTGAACATGTGCTAGGGGCTCGGTCCACAGAGGCCACTGCCTTCTTACACGTCCAGCTGCCAACACGTGGGTCTTTAGACAAGCTTTTAACTCCACAAATCCACAGCTCGGTCCCAGCAGCCAGGACGGTAGCTGTCACATCCATGTTTACATGGGCACAGGGGGCTCTCACATTTGCTTAGGTGTAAGCAGCAACATAAAACACGACGCAGCAGCAGGTCAGGCCCACAGCACTGCGGTGTCAGCTGTCAGGAAAGCTGCTGGCACGAGCTGGGGTTTCAGGTGAGCCGAAGGGAGTTAGGTACATCCTTCCAAACAGTGTCATGCGGAGCTCCACTTAGCAGTGTGTGTCCTGGAGTTAACATATTGATTGAGCATTTCACACAGTTAGTCCCCTTTTCATCTATGGTGTGAATATTGCAATGTCATTGCCAAGATTTTTAGATGCCAAAAAGATCAAAGCCATGCCTGGAAGCGTGTGTATTTGAACTAGAAGTGAACAAAAAGCTCAACAGTGGGTAGGAGCTAGTTTCGGATTAAGAACCTGGCATGCTATTATTTGCCCCAGAGGATGCTATTCAAATATGTCAGTTTTGCTGTCAAAAGGTTAGCCAGACTCTTGACTGAATGATGCTGGGGCTCTGTGTTAATTAATGGTGGGAAAACGCCAGGTCCTTTGATTTAAGGAAGTAGTTTGGCATGTTATTGTCTCACAGACTGCCCTTAAATGTCTTGAAAAAAAACCCATGTCACAGCAACTTGATTATTGTTCTGAAGTTTGTGTGTTGCTTCTTAAGAGGATTGAGAATTAGCTTGAGAGGAAGAAGGGCTTGGAATAGTATTCCAAGACTGGAAATCAAACTACCACTCACTATAAAACTATTGAGAGAATTAAAGCAGCTCCTCTTAAAAGAAGGTGCATTTGAGTAAAGGTTGTTTGCAGCTGTCTGTCAAGTACAGAGATGATCAGATTCAGATTAAAATTCCTTGCAGTTGAGATTATCTTGCACCATCTCCATGTTGAAGAAGGACTAAAAGTGTTTTTTTTCATGGCGAATTAGTAATCTCATATCCAACCTCTAAAATAAGTGACTCTGTGTTCTGTAAACACATATGACATTGAGAAGCCAACAATCTGCATCCATCTAGGCCCCAAACCCCCTTGGAGCATTTCAGTTGCTGCACAAAGAGGCTGCTAGTTCGCTAGCATGAGTGCCCTCCAAGGCCAAGATGGCTCAAAGTAAGTGTTTAAAATGTGGAACAAGGCGTTTGGAGGCTGCGGGCAGAGCAGGGGAGGCGGAGGAAGCGCTGCCCAAAGGGGGCTGCGGAGGGTGCGGGTGGCACCGAGCTCTGGAAGGGCGTTAGGGAGGGAAGGTGCAGCTGATGAACAGTGCTAATACACAGAACGCCTAAGTGATGACACAAGCCTGAAGGACTAAGAAAAGAAGCAAAGTGAGGGGGATACAGTGAAAGTGAAATCCCGCAGAGGCCCTTTCTGCCCTGTCCGGGATGTTTTGGAACAGCCCCACGTGGAATGGCAGCAGATAGCTGCAGTGTTCAGCAATGTGCTCGTCTCTTCTGTGCCCAACACGTGGGTGCTCCTGTGTTTGGACACAAGCCAACATGTTTCCCTGCAAAGCAGTCTGAATGCCTCCAAGCTGAAAATAACTTGCTTCCACTGTGAAGCAGAAGCAGCTCAGTTGTCAGCAAAGAGGTCCTCCTTATGGCTCTGGTGGCCCCTCTTATTGGCTTAGTATTTATTGGCAGGGGGATTTTGTACAGGGAGCTGGAATACAAGAGCAGGACTCCAATAAACACTGAATGGAAAAATGTCTGTGCTAAAAATGTTTGAGCTCCCTTTTGTTTCTCCTTGTGGAATTTTGTCGGCATCAGAGTGTTAGGATTTCCTGGAGGACAGACTGTTTTTCTGCATTATTGGGAATGAGTTTTGGTCAAAGAAGGTGTGAACTTTATTTTAGAAATTTACTGTTTGAATTAGGCTGGTATTTGTAGTGGAATTTTCAAAGTGGTTATTTACCTTCCCTTGCATGGAGTGAGATTTCTATGAGGAAGAGTCTCAAGAGACTTCAGCAATCAAATTAGTATTACACTTGAAATATGTATATATGTATATATTTCAAGTGTAATGTCCTGCAAAGTCCCTTGGGTTGAAGCTGAAAACTCTTAGGAAATTTTGACTTTGGTTAGGACTGAAATCCCTTTAAAGGGAAATATTAAACCATATCTCTGTGTGTAGGTTTGGTGTTACTTTCTTCTGACCCTGTAATGACATTCAGAGGACTTAGGTGCATTAGCACAGAAAATTAATTGTTTGTTCCTGCCAGAAGTTTTCTCCTCCCTGGCTAATCCCCAAATAATGTGATTGTACAGGTGGCCCTGATGTTGCCTCTGGGTCAGCCTTGTGACTTGGCACTGGATGAGCATTTTTAGCTGCTGTTTTCTTGTCAACAGAAGTTCCCGTTTATCTCTCATCCTGAGCCTTGCCTGTGGTTTTAGCCTTATTAGGCTGCTGCTTAAATCACTTAAGAGATTCCTGTCTTGTTCTCATGGGTAAACTGTACAAGGAGCCCTTCCTGCAAACACGCATGATCTTGATCTGCAGCGTTGACTGCTGGCTATTGCTTACTGAAATGCCTAGCTTGTGATAAGCAAAACATGACTGTAGGGTCAGTGAAAGGGATTTTCACTTAAATGGAATTGAGGAAGCGAGTGGTGGTTCTGAAAATCTCTTTTTAGTTTAAACTAAGTGCCAACTATAAAGCAAAATCAAATAGGTACTACTTACCTACAGACAGAGAACTGAATTTATAGACTTTGGCAGGGGGCTGCAGGCTCTCAGGCTGTCTCGCTGCAGCAGGTTAACCCAGCTGCGAGGTGGGTTAATCCCCCAACTTGGTGCCGCTGTCACGGGGCTGCTGCAGCAGCGGTTCCGGCTCCCGTGCTCGCGCCGCGCGGCTGCCTCGCGTTGAACCCGCTCAAGGTCTTGGACCGGCAGCTCGGGGCCCAGGTGGAGCCATTTCCTCCATCTCCAGGGGAACTCGGAGATTTATTTCAGCTATTTCTGGATTTATTTCCAATTGATAAAAATCATTTACAAAGTCTGGCTCTGAGCACTGAAACTGCGCTGTAAAGCTATTTTCTGTAGCTGTACTACCTAATGGTAGTTTTGCCCATGGTCATCAGTCCTAGTGGGCCTGGACTTTGCTCTCCTGGGACAGCAAAAGTTGGGAGAATAGAGGGCAAGGTCCCCACTGGAGACCCCGCTTTGAGGAGTGCATTCAGACACCCTGTCTGAATTGGGTGAGAGAGAAAGCTGGGTCTGAAGCTGTTGAAACTCATTAGGATAAAATCCCCAAGTCTGAGGTTTTTTGAATGTCTAAATATTAGTTTTGACAAGCCTAACGACATAGCAGGACTAGCCTCACCGAACTAGTTAGGTTGTCACGTTTCAAATCAGTTAAGAACATTGGCTTTGCAAGACCAGCATCTACCATGCTTGATCTAGATACAGACTGGTACCAGAAATGGTATTTTTTGCTTTGTATGAAAAAAATACCTCTGAAAATAGCCCATTTCCCATTTCTTTCAAATTGGTGGGCTACCCTACCTGCAAGGAAACCAGGAATGCACTGGCAGGCAAACAGCCAAAGGAGCAGCATTTTGTAACAAATGTTCACGTGCCATCAGGTGTGCAAACATTCAATTGCTTCCCTGGCAGAATTTTTCCTATCCAGTCATTTGTCTCAATTTTTCCATCATTTTCTCATTTCTTTTCTAGCTTTGCTCACAGACAAGCCTCCGAAGCCGCTGTTCCCCATGGAGAACCAGCCCACTGTTATAGATGTCCAGCTGGGTAAGTCCCCTTCTGGGAATAATAGATCCTAAACTTCCACTCTGGTAGCAGATGGGGAAAATGGGAGGAGGCACGAAGGTTTAGTGGTGCTGTTAGTGCATGCAAATCGATCAGTAGCTTCTCATTTGTAACTGTAGGATTTACTGCCATGGCAATATAAGGGAATGAACTTGTGTAACAGCAGGGAACAGCAGTACTAATTGGTTACACTGGATATTAAATATAAATTGCTGTTGCTCTTTTTAATATATGATTGATAGAAAAACATGTCTGTGTTGCTGCTGTATTGATCAGTTGATGTTTGCCTTAAGACAAATATTCTCATAAAAGAATTGCTGATTCCTTTAAAGTTAATGGAGAATAGTGCATTTTCAGTTTGTCCTGAACACTCCCTAGGAAGCGCCTTGGACTAAAATGCCTGTGTGCTTTTCTCACCCCTGTTTTATTTTCCCCTGTGACTGTGTATGTCCGAATCCCAGCTGGCAGCCTGTGTTTTCTCTTAGGTTGAGAAAGTCCATTGGTGAGTTCTGCAGATCGGGAAACTGGGGGGCATTTTGGTGCACAGGGGAACCTTCAGCTTTGAAGTTCCAGCACTTTTTTCTTTGCCTTGAAGACAGAGTTTTAATTTTGAAAGGCAGAGTTGGAGTTAACTCTTGAGGATGGAGTTGCCGTGAGTTTAAATGACAAGAGATGCACTGAAGCTGTGGATTATTTACTTTGTGTGAAGGCCGTGCTATTTTCCTTTTTCCTTGGGCCTGATTGTGTTGTTATTTTTGCGTCCAACTTCCGTCAGCCTTCAGTGTGGAATGGGCATTTAAAGGAAAGCAGGATCGGAATACAAGATGTAGGTGGGCTGGTAGCAGTTGGCTAAAGCCTTTCCTATGGTGCTCTATGAGGTTCTATTCAAGCAAGCGACAAAGGCACATCCTGGGTTTTAACCCAGGTGTTTAACGATTTCAGCAAAGCGCTTAAGAAATCTAAATTAAGGAAGTGTTTAAAAATGAGGGCTGGAATTCTTGGATGAGATGGAGCTGTGGCGAGTGTACGAGGCACACGGGAGCTCAGGGAGCACTCCCGTACGGCCGGGCCGCTCGGGGCCGTGCGGGGAGGACGCAGCCGGTGCCGGGTGAATCCCGCAGCCCCGCACACACGTTCCCCTCCACAGGACCCACGTGCCTGTTGCTGAGGGCACATGTGGATCCTCAAAGAGGAAAACACAAAACAGGTCTCGAAGCCCCATAATCAAAAGCCCGTCCCAGGCAGCAGAGAGGCAGAGTCGTCTCCCCTTGGATCAGTCCAAAAGGGTGAGTTCAGTTGCAGAATCCAGATCTTTAAAAGCCAACTTTCTAATGATTCCCTTTGGGAGCAAGCCGTCCCCGCATGTGTCTGTGTGGTAAAGGTCCTTGGGGAGCGCGTACCTTTGTTTCCTGAATTTTTATTCCATCTTTTCCTCTTGCAAGCCCCCCTGTTCCATTAGAGCTGTCTTGTTTTTGTGCTGCCTTTCTTCTTTCTCCCTACGTGAAAACTTTTTGCTCTGCCTGATTAAAAAGAGGCTTGATTAAAAAAAAATAAAAACAAACAAAGCCTTTCCTCTCCTTGGAGAAATGCTTCAGTAATAGGATTTTGGAATATCTCTGGAGGCAAATATAAATCTTCAATCTTTATATCCTGGCATGGAATCCATTAGTGTCCCCTAGGATCAGGGCATTTACATATGGCGCTTCTTTCTGATGTGGTAATAAGTTTGGTTATTGCTACTAAAGCATGCTCAGACGATGCTGCAAGATTAATGTTTATGAAAGACCCAGAACTTCTTTCTGTAACATCACTCCTTGTTTTTCCCTTTTGCTTTTCAATGTGAAAGAGTTAGAGCTAGAAAGGTCTCGGGAGGCCCCGGCGCAGCCTCGGCCTGTGGGCCCTGCGGGCCCTGCAAGGGCTATGTAGCGAAGGGCCCTTCTTGGCTGCAGTGGGTTGTGGAGGGAGAGCTCCTGTAGCCGGCCGTGGGCACGGCTACCTGCTCTGAAACTTACTTAAAACTCGTGCAAAACACGTGGTTCTGGAAGGATGAAGTTGTGCTCCGCGTTGTTAGAAGCGCAGGCAAAGTTCCTACCTGCTAGGGTTGCACGCAGTCAAATCAGCCGGTGGGCCTGCTCTTTTCAGCGGCTGTGCAAGTATGAATGTGCTGCTGAACTACCAAGGAAATGGCATTTAATGCATCTGCTTGTTCTAAGGAGATTATTTTAGACTTCTGTTGGCAAACTAATCTTTAAAGAAATGGCTGTCTTTGCTCTATAAGCACAGCAGATTAACAGTATTTACTGTCTTTATCCTTACTGATTAGCACGGTGCAATGCGGCACCTTCCTAGAATGAGGCAGAGGCTGAACTACTTAAACAACTTTTTATTTGACATGACTGCAGACTTCAGCATTCACCTCTCCCCTTCTATAAGAAGATTCAACTGGAAATAGGTTTGCTCAGTTCTTGCTGCCAGTAGATTAAAGGGTCCCTTCAAGCTTCAAGTGTGGCCCAGAGCCTGTCTTGATCCTCTTAGGTGCCAGGTGTGTACTTTTTTGTGTTTTCCCTCTTTCTTTAGAATTTGACAAAGATCCTGACAACTCCGTCAAGGTTAGACAGAAGCAGAAACTAGAATTTGCCTCTTGTTTTCTGTATTTACTTGTGCTAGAAAGATGGAGATGAGAAGAGAACGTGTGTGCCTCTCACGGCAGGAGGGATGACAAGAGGACAAAAGAGCGTCCCCGAGGACTAGAGGAGTAGCGCAAAACAATTTCATTGCCACAGATGTTTTGCCAGGTCACATAATCACCTCATCTCTGGGTAGACCTAGAAAATAGCTTTTTTATTTTTCATTTGTTGCTTCCTTTTCACACAGAACTTTGTTTGTTTTATGGTTATTAGCATTGGGGCAGGGGGGAGCAATACCATTAAACTGCATAATATACAGCATACTTAATCTTGGTATATCCTGGTTTTGTAAAATAACTTTTATTCTTATATAGAATATTTTTCTGCAAGTACATCATGTTAATCTTATAATAGCATTTGCTTCCTGGAGAGGCTATCCCTGAAGTTCTTTGCTAGATTAAAACCAAATTTGAATATATGAGCAAAAATATGGTCAACCTGAAGCCTAGCTGCTCGTGGTGATCACTTGGTTCTGTCCAGGGGATGCTCTGGCTTTAACAGAAGGCTCTTAAGGTTGGATTAGTAGAGTTTTGTACCCTAATTCCTTGCTTTTCTACTCAAAAAATGTTGCTTGTTTTATGTGTAAGGGCCTGAATATGAGTTTATTAAGCTTAATGCCAGTGTGACTCAAAGTAGTTACTGCAAGATCCTCATTTCTGGAGTGCTCACTGCTTGCGTAACCTAAGTGGGTGTGAGTTGTTCGCAGCTTATCCCTGAGGTTACAGAACTCCTAAAGCAATCTGGAAAAGCCCAGTCGAACGTATAGCCTGTGCTCTTTGCGTTGTTGTGCAGTAAATTCTAAAGATCTGTTACAGTCTTTACACTTCTTGCAGGGGAGGGCCCTTCTCGGAGAGAGCTGCTCCGTGCAATTCCAGCAGCACCCAGGAGCCAAGGTCTGATTTACACGCAGGTAGCAGCCGGTTCCCACACAGCAGCTCCGAGCTGGTGTAAAACCAGCCCGGTGGGGCCATGGGCCTTCAAGGAAGGGAGAAAGGAGAGCCGTGAACAGGGATCGCTTGGGATCTCTTAGGAGCTGTAGCTCACTAGTGTGTGCATTAAGTAGCTTCCAGAGTCATTGAACTTGCCAGCCTGTGGCTGCTATTTTACAGTTACATGTTCTGCAGAGAATCCAAACACCTAGAAGCATCCTATCAAAACAGGAGCTAAGATTTTCTGTTCTATTAATTCTGTAACATTTATAACAGTAATTACAATGTTTAATTACTCTTTTCCTTATGATTATTGAGCTAGGTGAGATTAGAATGAATGTTTGCCTATCTCTCTGTATATTAATTGAATGTATCATTTATGTACCACTTGTCTTTAAACTGGTTACCAGCTTTGTTTTCAGATATTTACTTAAAAATGTAGCATGAGTGTTGCTTAGAAAAACAAAACAATAAACATCTGTGTTAATTCACTTTCTAACCAAGGAAAATGGCAAGGGATTTACTTCACTGGTTTCGTGGTAGTTTTTCTGCTTCTAACGATGCAGGGAAGAAACACGTAGTTTATGTGGATTTCTCCTTTTTCTAATAGTTGAGCTGTTCAGAAATTGTTTCTGGGAGATTTAACATTGCAGTTCCTTGGGACTGGTTATTAAGCAGCTCAATAGAGGTACTATAAAACAAGTGAAAGGGAACATACAACCTTATATTGATGTATATGACAATATATAAATATATAAAAAATTAAACATAGTAAATATAGTGAGAGATCTTTCCTATTTGAAGCTCTGGTTGGAAGGAGTCGTTTGGGAAACCAAATTCCATAAGTATATTGAGATAGTGAAGATGCAACCTTCATGCGTGCCAGAGACCTGCCTCCTCCCCGCAGCACAGAGCTCCACTGCGATCCCAGCCTTGTGTGTTTGCAGGAGGGGACGCAGGATTTGCATCTATTACAATCATTTTTGGCTAATCTGTAGGGAATATTACCGACAATTTGTCTGTCATTTAGCTTTAGTAGTAGTTCCCTGAATACCCTAAGTGTATTACAGCTAGTGCTTTGATGCTCACTTGGTGTGGTGTTCATACCCTTGCTTCTTGTGGGGGATAATGGTGAAATCCTGCACTCGGGAGCCCTGCAGCTGGTGTGGATCCGCAATAGGTGTTCTGGCTTGTGGGGTTCATCCAGACTTCAGTCAGTGAGGCAGAGAACGGTTCATTTGTGCACTTCATTTTAACTGGCTTGGAAAACAAAGTGGAACTCTGGCTGCTGGTCCATGATTTTCATGTCCATTGGGATCTCTGTGATTGGCACCAATATCTTGAAGTGATATTTGGCACTTTCTGAATTCTTTTGTACGCCTGTAAAACTTACTTATT